TTACACCATGAGGTCATTACAAGAGCGCAGGGAGTTGAGTGCTGGATGCCCATCCGTGGAGAGATTATCATGTTCAGAATGACCCTGAATGATCACGGTTATTCACTTGTGAATGAACAGCCTGTGCATAGGTCTCAGGGGCCGTTGCACGATTCTTTTGGGGTACCCAGGTGATTTTGACACGGAGGGGCTCCCAGTTGCATAGAGCAGAGTATAAGCAAAATTCTTGAAGTCGTTTTTTTTTAATTGAGGTATCACAAATAAGTGGCTGGTCAGTGTCCACCATAAATGATTTTTATATCAGAAATAGCAATCTGAATCAATGCAAATGTGGATCGAGTCCCTGAGGGTGGTATTAAGAAACTCCATCGATGTCCTTAGAAACCAGGTCACACCATGATCGAAGTAGACTAGTCTAATTTAGACAAACAAGTGTCATTTTGTCATTGTACCTTTGGGTACAGGCAGATGTTTATTATGGGGGTAAATTTAATGAGATTGACCAGCACCCCTCATCACACCAATACTTAATCGCTTTAAAAAGTAAATCCAAAAAAAGAGGTACATTCGGAGTGTCAAGCCTTTTACCTGTAAACCTTGTATCCTTTGCCCCTAACCGATTTATTCAAAACACACTTTCATATGAATGCAACCCCAATACCTTGCTTTGTCGACGTTTGCTTCTCTGTGGTGCCGTCCTCAAGCAGGTCCTGCAGAAACCCTTGAAACAAAGAACAAATAAATTTTCATAACATGCCAGTTTTGCGCAAGTAACTTAAGATGGTCTGCAAGTCAAAAAAGGTGTGCCATATTTGCGTAAGTCACTTTGGAGTAGTGAAACCACTATTGGCCGACAATCTAAGTCTTCCCAATGAAGTCATATATATGACTTCATAAACTACCTTCCTTACTGATCAAAGTGGCATCCATTTCATGTTGGTGGCAGTGTGCATCCAAATGTAATGCTGTGCCCCTTCGGACTAATTAGCATCGAGTACACTACACTTTTAGGAACACAAGATTGCATGGTTCAGACCAACAAGTTCATGATCCTCAGAAAAGTGGTATTTAAAATACAATTTGCCATTAAATGCAACTTTCATAATGAAATCAGGTAAAAACAGACTGTTCTTTCAAAATTTCAAGACATTAATTAAGTTTGAAAAATTGCCACCCATTTTGTTCAACTTCTGCCCCCACAATGGAAAATACATATTTGGAAGACTGCAGCATACACTGATGTAATTTAAAAAAAAAATCCTCTGGTGAATATGAATTACAGCCGAAGCAGTATCCTGATGCAAACAAAGTTGTGAACTTTCACATGATAATACATTCGCCTAAGTTCATTGACTGAAATATGCCCTCCCTGTCAATCAGTAATAGTTGTATTGAAGTCCATCACAAGTACTTTCACCAGTCCGTTCCAATGTTCAATCACAACTTATTCATTACTGCCCTACCTCATCCCCCGTTGTCGTCTGTGATTCTGCAATATTTAAGGTCAGGGTAGAGGGGCTATCTGCTTGATTGGTTGTGTTCTCTGCATGTTTTCTCTTCCTTGAAGCACGGTCTGTAAATATGATGGAACAGCATCATCTTGTGTAATTTTCTTAAAGTTTAATGCCGAGCATATATTCACAAATTATTTCCTCATACCAGATGCATTTCTGATTAGTAATGGATGAGACCTCAGCCTAAATAAGTGTCCTTCAACTTGCCCACATCGTTTTTACAACTAAATCTTGTGCCCCCATTCTCGTTTGAAAATGGGTGTGACATTATTTTGAGATTTCAGCCAATTGCCATTTGGAGAGAAGCCAACTACATGTAGGTACGATATGAATTCAAACCCACCTAAACCACATAGATATTAGGGTTTCAACTCCCACTTTGTCCATCCCTTGAAATGAACTGTTATCCTATGTTTCTTTGGTGTTAAAGTGTAATTAGCAACAAACCACATTAAGATGAACATCAGTCTACATTTGTTACAATGGAGATGGAAGGCTTTATTGGACATGTACAAGTTTTCAATGCATTTTTAAGTGTTGGCAGTGTGTTGACGTTACTATCAATGTGTTGACGTGTGTTGACGCTAATTAGTACGACCAGCAAAAAGAGAAAATGAAAGCATTACTCACGCCAGGCTACACTGCAGCTCGAACAATTGCTGTTCAACGTAGAAGGTATTGCTTGCCTTCACAGACTGCCTGCTTTCCTTATACAGCTTGTAGCCGACTGTTGGGTTACCATGACAATCACACCGGTATGTTATGATGGCATCATGATTATGACTCAGATTACGATTACAAGAAATGCATGATGAATATGGGGGAAGCGAACAGAAATCAAGGGAATCTTCAGGGCATGCAGGATGAGAAATGGAGGACACTAGCGGGTATGTGCTTGAACTTGTTTCAGTCAGACTTGCTGAAGACGTGTCAATTGGACTTCCTGAAGACAAATTCAGAGACGGGTCGTTTGGACTTGATGAAGATAAATTCAAAGATAGGTCGATTGGACTTGCTGACGCCGAAGGTGAAGACACATTCAACTGAAGCCTAGTCGACAACAAAAATTCACACAGGTGTACATCTGCTCCCAGAGTTTCACTAAATATGGATGCGTTAAATGAAGACAACACGTCACTGACTTCAATGGCTCGTTGAATTCGGCAAACTTCAAGAAATCCGTACTTCGAAACGACAACTCCAAACTGTTCCTTTGTGCTCAGCTGATTGAAAGAAGTTAACATGATGTCTAACTTTCTCAACGCGATCTGATACTGTTCCACTACCTTGTCGTCTTCTTCAAGTCTACTTACAAATGCAGCTAAATCAACTTTAGAAACCTTTGTCTTTGGCATCATGAACAGAAAACATGCTAAACGGCGATTAAAGTGAAGAAAACTGGCACAATGTACACTGGACAAAACTCAAACAGCACATGTGAGTCAGAGGAAAGCGTGCAAGATTAAGATAGAAAGCATGCAATAAAGTTTCACAGGTGTTCTGTTGTAAGCGTACGCGGACATGTGATGCTTTTGCTGCATACCAGTGAACTTCTGCTCGTTAATGCACATGCTCAGTTCTGTAGCAGTGTAGCGGTGCTACAAGGAAGACCATGTGGATTCGGCCATCTCATTTCTGGCTGCATATGGAGCAATGGTTTATTCAAATATATCAAACAGGCATCTCTGTATAAATGACTACACATATATTTAACAAGTACTGGTATCACATCACTCCAGATCTAGTCACATGCAAACATTATTTAAGGAAGGTGTACAGCAAAATCTTCAATAAGTGAAACTTGAAGGAATTAGAATTTATTAGCAGAGTTTTGAGTTAAGGAGAGTTGTAGGTTCTTCTGGGGCTGTGACAAGTAAATTGTGTAAATAAAACTAAACAAACTACAGTTGACTTAAATAATGGGACACAGAGTGATGAAAGCACAGGGTGTACGGTAAAATTTTGAATAAGCCAAACTTCAAGAAAGTTTAAAGCAGATTTGTATGGTAGTGTTTTACTGAAGGGAACGATTTCTTTCTTTGACTTTTCAGAGTTTGAGTTATCGAACTTTCACTGCACTTGTACACAATAAGCCAAACATATCTTTGTACTTGGGTAAATCTACATGTACAGGGTGTGCTTGGTTTAAAAATTTATGGTCTAATCATCGATTGTATGAAAAATAATGCAACCAAATGTTCAAAGGCAGAGCAACAGCATAAGGGAAATGTGTGCACAAGAAAAAACCATTTGGCATTAAAGATAATTGCTCGAGTTGAATAAAACAACATGAGTACATTTTAAATAGTATCAATAAAACCAAAGTCACTCCAAGTTGTCTTCTGATAAATGTAGTGTACTGGCTATACCCATGGCATGTTCTTAACCTGTTTTTGGCACTTGGCATTAATACTTTCACGAATATTGCGAAGCTGGGGGCCTGAGATGCTTCCAGGAAAAACCTTCACCTGTTCCAGTATTGCTTTAAACTGGCTCTCACTAGTGAGTGCTACCTTGATTGTAGGCCCATTCTTTGCAGAAACAATTCTGCCACTGAACGATGGCTCGGCAAGTTCTTCGTTTGTGTAGAACACCCCCAACAATTTCAGGGCGAGAGTCTGAGCATTCGCAGACCTCTGGAAAGCGTCCATATACACCCCTTTGGACATGGCAAGGGTTTCGCTCCCGTGCCCTATATAGACTGTATC